TTGTCAGAGAAACAAATATGAATCTTTAAGTCCAGCAGGGTTGTTGCAACCTCTCCCCATATTGCAAGCCTCGTGGGAAGACATAAGCATGGATTTTATATGTGGACTACCCAAGAGTAACCGATTTGATACAGTGTTGGTAGCTGTAGACAGGCTCACCAAGTATGCACACTTTATTCCACTCACATACCCGTATGATGCTAAGACCGTGGCCGAGCTTTTTACAAGGAAGGTTCTCAAACTACATGGGTTCCCTAATAGCATAGTTTCGGATCAAGATCGAGTATTTATCAGTTAATTCTGGAAGGAATTATTTCACATGGCTGGCACGACACTCAAATACAGCTCCTCCTACCATCCAGAAACAGATGGGTAGATCGAGGTGATGAATCACAAGCCTTGAAACTTATTTGAGATGCTTTGTGGGAAGATCTCTGAAGAAATGGTCAAAGTATTGTGCTGGCAGAATATTGGTACAACAGTACGTTTCACAGAGCCACCGATATGACGCCTTTCAAAGCGCTGTATGGGAGGGACCCTCCTATTCTGCTTAAGTGGACCGACAGACCCTCTAGGGTTCAAGAGGTTGAACAACAATTACAGGAGGGAACTAGGTGTTGAATGAGCTCAAGCAGTAATTGGAACGAGCTCAATCAAGAATGAAGAACCAAGCAGACCGACACAGGAGAGAGGCTCAAATTCAAGTGGGAGATCTCATCTATCTGAAACTCAAACCCTACTGATATCGATCTCTAGCCTGAAAATCCAATGAGAAGTGCCCTATCTGATCACCAAAAAAGTGGGCAAGGTTGCTTACTGGCTGCAACTACCAGCTACAACTAGGATCCATGACATTTTTCATGTCTCACAACTTAAAAAAAGCCCTAAAAAATGTTGTAGTAGCCCAACCATTACCCAAGGAGCTCACTGATGAGCTAGAATTGAAAGTGTGGAAACCGAACAGGTTAGAGAAGTACACAGATCCAGTCAAGGAAACTTGCAGCTCCTAATCAAATGGAAGGATCTACAAGAACATGAAAATACCTGGGAAGATATCGAGCACATTCAAACTCAGTTTCCAAATTTCCACCTTGAGGACAAGGTGAGGCTTGCAAAACGAGAAAATGATGGGCCTAGGAAGTCTTCAGGCTGAGTTTACAAGAGAAGGCTTGAGAAGGGTGGGCCAGGCCCAGAACACAGTGCACAAGGGAAAGAGGGATCGAATGGGGAAGTTGGTAGTGCCGTGTAACGATCTCCTACGGACGGTCCTAACATGTCAAAGTGGTGTGTGCATTTTAAGGGGGAAGGAGGGGAATCGAGTGGGTAGATAGTTAGTGGGATTAGTAAGGAGAGGTGTCTAGTCTCTCAAAAACCGGACTATGGGTGCCATTTGCACCGTGTTCTTGTTGCATTATTTCCTGTTATATCAAGCTTCCTGGTTAGTGGGGAGTAGTAAGACTTCTATTCTCTCATTTTCCATATAGTAAAGAGGGTACCGGCTACATATTTTCCTGAAGTTATTACTTTAGATTCCTATTTCTACCAGGGTCTAGGAGTACGGGCTACAGGCTTCAAACTTCAAACACAAAAGCAAAGAATCTCTAGGAAAAAACAAAAATCATACTAAATATCAAAAATAGAGGGAGATTCTATTCTAGCATTTAGTACACTCTCAAAGATTATGACAATTTTGTGCCTTATTCTAGAACTTTCTAAATTCAAAAACCATCTATATTAGTTGCTAGACATTAAGAGGAAATAATAAGATTTAATTAATTAAATTTTCAGCTTTCATATTCTTTAAACCACTTTCCCAACAAATGACATGTCATTTTAGTTATCACAACAAAGTGTTTAGCATGCTTAAACAATCTAATTTCTCCTTTAATTCCTAAGAGTATCAAACAGCAAGTCCTCATTAGTAGAGTATCAAATAGCAAGTCCGGTCAGTCCTAAGCTTCCAAAATTTCAAATTTAATGCACATTCATTTCTAAAAAAATATAAGACAAAGATGAACAAAACCACAGGAACCAAAACCGATAAAAAACCAATGAACCAGAACAACAATATTATACACCCAGAACATTCACTAATGAACCAGAACAAATGTCATTCAAAACCTAAAAACATTTTTAAAACTCTAAAGAAGGAAAAGAAACGTGACAAACCTACACCAACATGCAAAAACAACAGCGAAGTAGAACAAGAGGGAAATGGGACCATGAGCGAAGGTAGAAAGCCACAAACCAGAAAACACGATCGTGATGGAGGAGAATCACAAAATCAATAGGGAAGGTGCGAAAATTAGGTGGGGATAGGAGATTTGAGTGCTCTGAGGTCTAGGGAGTGTGCGAGAAAGATACAAAGGGCCTGAAATTTGAAATTGAGTTACAACATATTAGGGTTAAAAGACAATACTTGATGGTCATACTCTAAAACTATCAAGTATTTAAAGTAAATAATTGATGATTTTATCAAATAACCATCAATTATTCCTCAACAAATCAATACTTGACAGTTTTATAAGGAACTTTCAAGTATTGTTTTGCTGATTAGGGTCCTCCTCTTATTAGTTTTTTTAAATAACCGTCAAGTATTTGAAGTCAAATATTCATAATTTTATAGTAGTGGTGTCTAGTATCTCGATCTTCTTTATGGTGCATCCATCACGTTGATCTTATTTTTTTGGTTGATCTAGTACCCCAAAAAAGCCAATCATGTGTTACAACCTTGCAACTCCTAGCATAAAGACAAAGAATGATTGGAAAGACCTTAGCCAACTCAAAGGAGTATGATATATAGGGTGCTTATTTTGAATGTAAGTCTAATATATAGTATGATATAAGGCACCCTGATGTTATTTTCTATGTATATCTAGCATGTTAATCTACTTTATAGTGCATCAGCACTTTGATTTTTTTCTTTTTATGAATCTAGCACCCTAAAATTTAGGGTGCTAATGTAAGCAAACAAATAATATCAAGGTACTAAATGCACCGAAAAGATAAGATTAAAGTGTTGGATGTACCATAAATAAGATGAGGACATTGTATGCACCGAAAAGATAATATCAAGGTACTAAATGCACCGAAAAGATAAGATTAAAGTGTTGGATGTACCATAAATAAGATGAGGACATTGTATGCACCTAAAAATTAAAATTGGGGTGCACTAGGTATACCTTTACTCATATGATATATATGATACTTTTTGTGTGAAGTGAATGGCATAATGATCAATACCATTGTACTATCTCTAATCTTTAATATAAAAGTTATATAACTAATTTAAAGAGATTAAAAAAATTAGTTAAGTTGATTAATTATAACAAATGTGTGTTGACATTTTTAAATTACCCTATTTAATCATGCACATTGGAAATATCCCTTGATAGGAACCCCTTACAATCAACAGGAATATTTTAGGAAAAAAACAATTATAAATTTAAAAGACAAAGTTGATTGAGATCTTATATTTAATACTAAATTCAATTTCTAATTAGTTTTTATATTAAGAATCCGAGATAATATTTTGTTACTAGGATTTTTATTTATTTTGGAAACATTGCGTTTATATTTTGTATCATATTCATTTTTTGGGACCATCATTTGACATTTGTGGCACGTAAAAATCTCCAATCCGATAATATGCATGTGATGTGTTCCTATTATTTCCTTTGCTCAAGTTTTAGAATTTTATTTCACAGATTCTATTTAATTACTTCAATTAAAGTCCACTTATAATGCTTGGACCATTTGCACTCAGTAAAAATTGGCATTGCAAGAAACAGAGCATTTACAATTTCTACTTCACAACAAGCACCATACAAGTCGTTCCTATGTCAATTACAGAACATGTTAACTTCATTTCCCCCTTTATCGTGGAGCCAATAATCTGTGATGGCAATTACATTAGAGGAGGTATATTCCCACATATCACATCTAACATTCAAATTGAGTGAGACATTATATCAAGACAATAGTGTCAGATACACATAGAGAAATACTTTTACACCTTAATTCTTCAATTTTCTAGTTTCAGCTTTTAGCCTTAGATTACAAATTCTAGTAGTTTCTTTTTAATCTTTTTATCCTTCACATCATATTTGTTTGTTTTTTTTTTTTTAAAGGAACTTTCTTAATATAGCACGGTAAGAGGGATATATATATATATATATATATATATATATAAAAGAGGCACGCAAGAAAAACTTATGTTTTGGTAGAGTTCACAAAAAGGAAGATTTCTTTTTTCTTTTTTTCTTAATTCTTTTCATCTCTCTCTCTCTCTTTTCCCTCCCTTTTCTTCTTTGGCTTTAAAGTGTTTTGCTTTACCATCACCTATTTTAGCATTATTTTGGGGTACTATTCTGCTTGTTGCAAAGTTACGTTGCTTTTAAACAAAGCTTGTTGAAATTTTAGGGCATTGTTATTATATTGCGTAGCGCTGTGGCAGGTAGCCGTAGGATATCTCCAAATACTAAATAAACAATATTTGATGATAATTTTCAGTGTTCCATGATTGAATAACAATATTTTTATTGATTATAAAAAGTTCACAAGAAGGCATTCCCATCCACATAATTAAAAAGAATAATTTACAGAAACTAATATGTATTTATAACAAATAATCAACTTAATTAATTTTTTTAATATCATTAAATTAGTTACCAAGCTTTAAAAACTAGAGGGGTAGCTCAAATTCATAAATATATAAATGAAAAAGGATGCTTTGCATAATTTTTCTAAATAATTAATAACCAAAATCAATTCTAAAAAATTTACACGCTACAATCATAAATCAATCAATATTGGGAAGATTGAAAAACCAAAACTCTCAAACCTATCATCAACTACTTCTCTCTCTCCATATGTTTATATATTGGTCAACTACTATTAACATATGAACAAATCACACTCAATTATATGGACACCTACTAATTAAAATACTCGTGAAGGTGACAAGCTTTTGCGTCATCACTGATATCATAATAATTTTCCTCTTTGCTTCTACCTCACAACCATCATTGGAGGAGATAACGGCGATAACGGAGGAACACTGAAAATAGTGTTGGCAACCTCAGTATCCCAAAATCCCTTCCAGCATGACGGCGTTAATGGACCAGCCGTTACAGAAGATGAAGCAGCAGCAGCAGCAGAAGAAACAACCCCACCTGTGGGTGAGGCTGCCTCGTCCTCCTCCTTCTTCATCTTCTTAAATTCTTCTTCATTCTTCTGTTCAATTTTTTCCTCTCTTTCCCTTTTCTCACCAACCACGTTTTCCACTGTTGACGACTCAGATTCTTCAGAACTTGATCCAATCTCAAGAGGGAAATTGAGTATAGCTTTGCTTCCTCTCATTTTGAATGCGGCTCTGTCGTATGCTTTCGCTGCTTCCATGGCTGTATCGAAGGTTCCAAGCCAAACCCTTGATCCCTTTCGATTCGGGTCACGAATCTCCGCCGCGAACTTCCCCCATGGCCGCCGCCGAACTCCTCGGTAGCGCTTGTTATTGTCCTCTGCGACATCCGATGATGTTGAAGACGAACTCATCCTTAAGCCCATGGGAGGGATGGTGATATTTATAGATGGCTTCCTGCTGCTCAAATTTGACGACTTTGGTGATTTCGAATTGCATACGGTTGAACCTGACGGCGTCTGGTAATATGGAAGAGATCCAGAGAAGAAGGATTGGTTGGTAGCAGTATGAAAGCAGAGACGGCCATTGATGGGGCCATGTTCTTGACTGAAGCTGGACGCAAAGCCTTCCATACCTTCTATTCTGCAGAACTGAAGATATCCAAATCACTATTAGTGAGAAGTTTGATATTGAGAAGAGAGAGAGAGAGAGAGAGATTTGGTTGAGGGGAGAGTGAAGTGTGAGAGGGAATATATAGAGAATGGATGAAGGGTGAGAAAGAGAGTATTGTAAGAAAGTGGGTGAGGTTCCAGGCAGGTTCCGAGAGGATGAGAGGAAGCATCTTTTATGTCTCTGTGGAATTGTGGACGCTGGAAAAGGGAAAGAATAAAGCAACGTGAGGGATAAGAGCATATTAGTTTTATTATATATTGAGGTTGTGGGGTCATATTTGTCATTGTCATTTTGACTCGTGTGCTTGTGTCTCTCATTTTATGACTCTTCCGAGGTGCTTCCATTCCACACACTGTATATCACTCAAGGGGGCTGCGGAATATTCAGAGTGCTCGTCATTTTTTACTACCATTTTAAATTTATCAGATCTAAATCATTTAGATTTTACTTGAATAGTTTAGATTTAATTATTTTTTATTTTTATTTGTTTAAGATAATTATTTTAAGAGGTATAGACTATTTAATCTCTCAATTATCATTTTTTTAAAAATCATTTTTTATTTAAAAATAATTAATTTAAAATTTAAAATCTGAACCATTCAAATAAGATCTCAATAGTCAAGATTTGATGAGTTTAAAATGTTTATCAATATGATGAGTACTAAAACTGGTTTGGGAATATTCAAGTTTTCCTTTTTTTTGGGTCCTGTTTGCGGCATTAAGAATTATGCTTAGCTTCATGGCTTTGGTAAGACTTGTGTGTGTCACTTGCTGCTATGGTCTTATTTATGAACTAGAGGAATAAGGTTTTTCTTAGTTATATTTATAAGTCAATTTAAATTTTTAACATGAATGTAATGTTTTGTTTTTCTAGTTATTTTTTAAATGTGTATATATTAAATAAGAGTAAAGTTAAAAAATTGTTAGTTTAAATTTTTAATGGTATGTCCCAAATATACTGAAAATGCATTATAAATAAATTATAGGAATATGTTCTAATCTTGTAAATATTTTCCGTCCTTTTTCTACTGCTATGTTGTAAAATATTATTATTATTGTTATTATCATTTTGTCCTTTTTTGGGGAAAAAAAAAAACTCAGTTAGCGTATTTATCAAGTAAATGTTATAAAAGAGGTAATTTTCAGGGTCATCATAGTATTTGGCTAAATTATGCATTTGACTGCAGAAAAGACAATATTCCAGTCCAAAACCATTTGTTCTACGAGCAAGGACCAATGGGAAGGATAGACAAGTTAATCAGGGTATCCATGTATGTGGCTACCGGGGGCTTACAAAAATGATCAGTTGGCTTGGAGAATCAGGGTAGTTGATTCCATTCATTGACTGTCCGTCCTTGTTTCTTTTTCCAGGAAAGTAATGCGCATAATGACACTACTTTCAAACCTTAATATAATTAGGAAGGTTTTGGAAGGTTCAAGAAGTTAATAAATACTACCTCCATTTTTTAATATAAGATCTTAATTTACTTTTATTTTGATCCTAATTATAAGATTCCAGTCCATTTTGTTTCTCATATTTATAAATTTTTCTAAGGTAGTCCCTCTAATAATGATAGTTCTAGCTAGTAAATTTGATTGGCAATGATATTTTAGGAAAGACAACACCTATTTATTATAAATAACTAATTTAACTTATTTCTTTAATCTCCTCAAATTAGTCAACTAGCTCTTATAATTAGAACCGGAGGTAGTATCAATTATCTTCACATTAATTTGCCAATCTTATAAATTATTACCCCCTATAATTTGCCAATCTTATAAATTACTACCTCCCTCTTTAATATGAGAGCCATTTTGACTTTTAATTTGGTCTTAAATATAAGATCTCAGTCCACTTTGTCTCTCATATTTATCCATTTTTTCAAAATAATCGTTGTAACAGTTGTGCATATTTATTTCAAACACTACCTTTGATCATTAATATAAGAACTAATTGACTAATTTAAGTAGATTAAAAAAAATTAGTTTAATAAGTTACTTGTAATAAATATGTATTATCTTATTTAAAATATCCTCGCTAATCAAATGTCATTTGATTAAACATTTAACATGTGTATCTATTACAAAGATTACCTTGAAAAAAAAATATAATAGACAAAATAGATTAAGATATTATATTTAGAACCAAATTAAAAGTTTAATTAACTCTTATATTATTAACTAACTTAACAAATTTTCTTAATCTACTCAAATTAATTAATTAGCTCTTTTATTAAAGATTACGAATAGTAGTATTCATTCCAATTATACACATAAGTATTTTAAATAGATTATGTAACATATTATAATTAAGTAATTTGGTAACATTCTCAATTTCTCCAAATTCGTCAATTGGATCTTACATTAACAACATGAAGTGATGCTGTAGAAAATTTCAAGGGCACTTCATTTTATTTATTTTACACATTTCCCCTCCTGATTTATCGAACACGTGGCATCAAGTTTATCTAGAATATGGAACTATTAGCTCATTGACCCGCTACAATCATGTGCATTTGGCAATATAGATGGGCAGACATGCCAATAATAATCACAGCTAAGAACCCATTCCTGGTGCCAAAAATGGAAATGTCCTTAATGCCCTCGGTGACAGTTATTAAAGGCCCCCACAACTATTGATGGATACTTTTGTATCAGGGAGCCATAGCACATTCAACAATATAAATATCACTTTTGAAGAAATGGCGCAAACACCGCAATGACTTCCTTGTAGACAGGCTGCTTGAAATCTACAGCCTGCGCAAACAAATAAGAGATAAATATAAGCTGTCTAAGGCTAGCATCTGGGGATTTGTTTTGAAAACCCCAAAACAAAAAATGGGCAATACAAATATAATGGAGGTATACTCACAAGCTCAATTACTTCTTCTGGTGACATCCATGACCACTCCCCAAACTCAGCTTTCTCAGTACCATCACCTAAAAGATTGATTTCTTGATCTTGCCCAGTGAATTTCATCAGAAACCTGCAGTATATATATATATGAAAGGATGCACAACGCAACCAACAGTTAACGATAAATACCCATAAATTCCATTACAATTCCAACTATACCAACTTGGCGCAAATTTAAGCACACAAGCATATAGGTCTATTGACTTATGGCCTCCTTATAGGGAAAAAAGGTTGAAGAATGCATATCACTTCAGAACCCACACACTCACCATTTCTGAGCTTGACCTTTCCAGTCAGATCCCCACTGAACTTTCAGTTTCTCCCTAACATGTGGTGGGAAGTCATATGTTAACCAATAAGGTGCCTGTGATAAAAATCCAGTAAGATAATGACTAATAAGTGTAAAAGAGAAAGATAGAAAGATGGCACTTTAAGTGGATGATGACCTAGATAAAGAAAAAGATATGCACCGCATCGATATTGAGATCAATAGATCAGTCTGGACTCACCTATAATCATTGGATACACAATGTTCTACTAAATAAATCCAGACAACATTATGCATAATATTCAAACAGGAAAACTAATGTTCGTACAAATACCATGAGAATCTACCCCATCAGGAGTAAATTGTCAACTAGTATAATATAGATGGGGCATAAGCAACCATATGAACCCAAAGACCCAGATAAGCAATCCCAACTGTTCATAAATGAAATATAGTAAATCCCTCAAGTTGATCGTCATTGATTATGTTCATGCACTTGTACAATCAACAAGATCAGTGAACAACCTTGTTGGTCCTCTGTAGGAGTCAAAGATGGAGTGTTTTTGGGCAAATTGACAAAGTCTTTCATTAAAGGGGAAATTATGCTGGGGAAAGAATACCATCACAATTTACCACAATCCTTGATGGAATGGACTATCCTACTGGAAGATTTCATGTGCCGGTAATACCTGAGGGTTTGGAGTCTGATCTGGTAAAGAAGAGCAATGATCTAATAGGGCTCTAATATCTTTCCTTGTGTCAAAACAAGGGCACAAGTCAAGATTGAAGTTCTTAATTTAATAGATAAAAAATTATATTGAACTTGATCATGACACAGTGAAGTTGCCAAAAGATTTATTGGAACTTATTCACTCCACAAAAGTCACCACACAAATTGACTTTACTCATAAATATTCCAAGATGTTAGTTGCCTCTAGTTCAACGAAAGATGCTTTACAGATCATAATAATTTTCCAGCAAGAAACAAACAGAAGCAAAGAAATTTTGGGGGTGGTGATAGGGTCCAGATTAAGGAACTAAGTGATTTTGTTGATCCTGCTGAGTGCCTAGCAGGTGCTTATCTTGTTTAATCAGATTTGGCATTACTCTTCTAATAAGGAAGAAGCCACAAGTCCCAACTTCCAATTCTCAAGTTAAGGGCAAGGTGAAACCTTCAAGGGCCAGGATACGATAGGCTGCATCAGGCCAAGGCATATAAAATGTTAGGGAATATATAAGGTAGTGGGGTGAGTGAACTAGTGTTTTTTTTTTTTTTTTTTTTTGGGTGGGAGGGGGAATGATTGTTAAGCCGATTTGGTACCTGTACACCACCTGGTGACCACTCACAATTGAGGGCTAAGCATCGGGTCACAATTCCCAGCCAATGTAAGACAGAAAAGTAAACAAGCTAGCAAGCTTGCATTGTAAATACCAAGTTGGGAAGCAGAGGTTATGGTTAATAAATCCAGCTAGTCTGAGTTAGTTGATATCAGAATGATAGAACTCATGGGCATGGAGTCATTTGTAAAAACAAGACACTAATGTTTTGCATTAGGGTACATCTAGTGACTGATCTTCCCCCCCCCCCTCTTTCTGGGTAACGATTCAATTTAAGTTTGTCCACGATGCCTTCATAGGTAAGGTGTCACCTTGAATTGTAGAATGGAATGTCTGAGCTAAACAATCAAATTACAAGTAGGAGTGAAGTTTGTCCTTAGTCTTTAAGAACTATGGGTCCGTTTGGATCAGTGATTGGAAAAGTAGCTTATTGAAAAAGTAGCTTATTGAAAAAGTAGCTTATGGAGAAGTAAAATTGGGTAAAAGCTAAATTGGATAAGCTGAATTGTGTTTGGATTGGAATTCAGAAAAGCTAGTTTACAAAAGTGAGATTGGCAAAAGGTTGTTTGGATTATGGTTGAGTAAAAGTAAGTTTGGTTGTAAAATGGCCAAAATAGATATGAGTTTTAATAAATAATAAAACATGATTAAAAAAAATAATTTCACATAATACAATGAAATTAAAATAATTTAATATGAAGAAGTCATAAAAAATATTTTAAATATAAAGTGAAACATGAAAAAATAAAAGTATACTTTTTGGGAGCATATTTAAAAATAAAAATATATTTCTAATTTATTCACTACTTTCAACTAATTTTAACTGATTTTTTATTATTTACAAATTAGTTATTTGAGGCTTATAATAAGAACCAAAAGAGGTAATAAATTTCTTAACTTTTTCTCTCTTCATATTTCAAAAGCTATAAGTCATAAGCTATAAGTCATAAGTTGTTAATTTTAGCTTGTAGCTTATTGTAGCTTTTCATAAAAAAGCCCGATTACAGAAAAGCTGATCCAAACAGACCCAATGGTGTCAATCGAGCTTATAGAGCTTATAAACTACTTATAAGCTCAAAATAAGTGATGCCAAACAGGCACTATATATAATTTGTCTTGTCATCAATCCTGTTGCCTAACATCTGTGGATGTCATCATCAATTAGTTTATTCTTGTTCCACTAATTCAATCTCATCCATGCAAGTGTTCATGTCTGTGTCTAGCTGCTTTAAATTTAAAATTAGTAACCAACGCATCAACAAATGAAACAATATAGCTGGCATAGATTGGGCTTTATGTCAAAAAGTATGACAAGATTTTTATAATTATATAAAATGTGTCATAACTTACGCTTAACTGAATGTCATAATTGACCACATAGTTGATGGCCTATGTTCTTCAAGATTAATTTATCAGAAGCTAAAATGTTGTCAATATGTGTTACCAAATGGTTCTCAAAGCCTTGGCGAAGGAACCAAAGCACAATAGGAGCAGCTTATACAGTATAACTAGAGCCATCCAATTTTGTCAGGAGTATGGGATTTCCTCAAAAAGCAATAAGAAAATTATTTAACGTAGGGGCTGAGAAGGCTGGAATAATATCAGACGGATTGTATTTTGGTAGAAGTGAGCTCTAATAGTTGAAAAATGAGCTTTCAAATAAAACAAATTAGCAAACAACCACGGAAAAACTCTGACAGCACCAAATATTATGAATTAGGGCTGGCCACAGAATGCCCTAGGGTAGGTGTCATAAGGACTGACAACCAACTCTGAGCATTCAAGAGTCATAGAGTATATTTCATGAGCCATTACGCATCAGCACATGGGAGGCTGTGAAGATTTTGTTGGATGGCACATGGAGGATCAGCTAGAGTTCCAGACAAAGATGACAGACTCAATCAATGTCATGTGAAAGAAACAACAAGGTGCATGTGGCAAAAAGGAGATGAAACACAGTGATTGGAATCATGCTAGTCACTAGAGGCTTATAGAAAAGGAAGAGAAGAAAGAGGCTTCAATACCACATAAACTATAAAGAGTAAGAGAGCAAGAGAAGAGATGGGATATATCTAGTGGGTTCCAATTTACATGGAGCTTCTCATTTACAAGGGAAGTATAAGACAGGGCTATAGAGGCTCATAGGCACAAAATAAATATAGAATAATATTAACATCAACTAACAACACATAACATGCTAGGTCAAACTAAGCTCCATAATTTTTGGACAACCAAAAAAAAAAAAACACAGGGCAAAACAAAAAGAAAAACTCATTATCATTAGAATTTACCATTTTTAGTGAGATAACCTATACTTGTAATTAGTGGGAATCATTTACCAATATGCATCTTAACTGCCACTGTTTCGATTGTAAACCAATGCATCAAAAACACAAGTATCTAGCTCAAGCAAGTAATATAAACAGAAATTCCTAGTTAAAGATAAGGATATATCAAACACCTCAATAATGTGTAGTAAAGACACCTGGTTAAGAACATCCTAACAGATAGGGCGATAATACCAACTCATGCCAAGTTTTAGCACATGCTCACACTTGTTCATTTAAACAAAGTAAAGCGAAAACAGCAGCAACAATTTACTACTGATGAAAAGTCTAGAGATTTAAAAAAGTAAAATGACAATGTAATTCGCATAAAATACCAGGCTGTAAACCTTGAGCAATAAATGCAAGAACAGATGGGCTATAAGATTTCTAATATCAACAATTGTAGCATGATTACAGAATCTGTGTTTGGATACATTCAAACAACTAGTAGAAAACTAGAAATATCAATCCTCCATCAACTAAGAGCATCAAGAGAAGTATGTTTTCTTTGCAAAATAGAAGTTACTACAAAATGTAAATGAAGATAGGTTTAAAAAAAATCTACAAGGTATTATAAAAATCTATTCAAAGGAATATCGTACTATGAAATAATCAATCCAAGAATCCCACTACTAAGTCTTGATTATGGACAATTCTTGTGTACAAATAAAAGGAGATCATCCATCTTTATTACTAGAACATCCGTTTATTTCAAATTTTCTTGTATTCACTTACCTGAACCCTAGCTCCATACAGCTTCTAATCTATTTTCAAGAGTTTCTAAAAGTTAACAATAACAGTCACTTGAAAAAGAAGGCATATAGACAGAGAATATAGACTCGGTTTGTGCATTGTTATCTTTTCAAGGCTCCAAAAAAAAAAAACAAAAAAACAAAAGATCAACATAGTTAACGTCATTCCACTCTATTCTTTACTCATTAATATCAAAAAGATCAGAAAGTTTAATTTACCGGCTTCTTATGTCTTAGAATGGCGAAATCTAATATGCTACCAACAATTACTAATTGGACCTACTCAACCATAAATGATGGAATCGGTTCTTTGTCCAGAACGTTTGCAAAAGATAGAATAAGAAAGCAAAGAACAATATGTAATATGCACCTCTGCAATAACTTCTGCTGACTTTACTCCTGTCTCCTCTCTTAATTCCCTGATAGCTGCATTCCTTGGATCCTCACCGTCATCAACACCACCCTAGAAGATGCCATGTTAAGTTAATTACAGTAGGCATGCCATCCCCCATGTACCAAATAATATTTTCCAAGAAACAGACGCGTCATATTTTTATCTTTATTTCCTTTAACATCCAAGTTACACCAATACTTCTACAAGATGAGAGCTCCATCTACATACAAAATTAAAATAAGGAAAATTAAGAGTGTTCCACTTAAAAATTGGAAGGAAAAACGAGAGCTCCATCTGCCACCGCAATTGTGAGTACCATTATGCTTTTTCAAAAGGCATTCTAGAAACTGCAATATTAACTTGTTACTTGCTAGGTAGCAAATTTACGTAAAAGGATTTCAGACGATTATGAGTACCCTGGGTTTATATAAACGTTTTGAGAAAGCAAGCAAAAACAAAATACCAATTCAGACAAAAAATAAATACGCTATAAAAATACTTTTCCAAATTCCTGCCACAGAATTAGTTTAGTTTATCCAGGCTTTGTGGTAAGAATAGAACTCTAAAAATGATGTTTATGTTAAATTACGTCTTCTGCACGGGAAAATTTCCATTGACTGAACCCTCCAATGAACCAAATCCAAAATAAGAAGCATGGTGCCAACATCGAAGCTTAAATTCTCATGCAGGAAGGAAAGTAAGTAAAAAATACTAATAATAATTCAATAGTTACCTGCGGCATTTGCCAAGCATTGGGTATATCCAGCCTGGAAGCAGCAAAAACCTGTAAAGAAGAGAATCGTTCAAGGAGCTGTAAAGACGCTCCCATGGAAGAAGATATAGAGTGAGCGAGAGAGTAAGGTGACCTTCTTATCATCATTTATCAGACATATACCAACATTTCTACGGTAACCTTCGGGAGGAGCTTCCATGGAATCCGACGGTGATGAAGAAAAAGAAGGACGAGAAGACCAAAAGGGGAATGAAGGAAGAGGTTTGTGAAGCGAAGAGAGATTGGGGAATTGGGAAGGGTGATTAGGGGGAGAAAGTGTTAGATGAAGAGGATTGATCGTCCTGGTGGTAGTGGAAACGAGAATCCGCGAAGAAGACGACCCAGGGAAGTAAGCAAGTCGACATAAGGCCATACCAAGAACGCCAGCTTTTACGAGAGAGAGGGCGCATTATTCTCAACTTTATGGAACAAAAATTCACCAAAATTCCTCCGAACGACCGAATTTTGTTGGCAAAATGACGATTGCTGGGGTTGGGGTTGTGAAAGGTTCAAGATAATTGGAAATTTCCAGATTTTTTAATAAAACCTTTGGTTAAAATTATTTAAAAACAACATATATGTGAAAGAATAATTTTTTTTCAAAGCATACTCTCATTTATAAGAAGCAAGTAAGAGAGAAATTATAAAAAACATGTAGTATGATGAATTGTCACCCTTTTTAATTAATACAATATATAAAATTAAGGGTTAAGGTACAATTTTAACAATAAGAGCTAGAAAAAAAAGAGAAAAGCATAAAAAAAAACAAGAAGAAGAATGATCCAATTCAAGTTTAATTTAGTTTCTTGCATTCCATTATACTTTTTTTTTAATTGATTCTCTTCATTTCCTAAAATGTTCACCTTTGTTCCCAAACACTATATCCTTTCTTTCTTTGCCTCAGCACCATTACAACCTAATAAAAATCCTTTTGATTTATGCTTGTAATTGCTTTATGATTGGTGAAGAATTTATATTCTTGTCAAGCCTATGGAAAGAGGATTGGATAGGATGATTTTGAGTGTAAACACAAGCCGATATACTTTTGACTGATGAGTGACATACACATTAACCTTGGTGAGGGATTTCTGACTTAGATTCTCTTTTGTCAAGTAAATTGTCATGATGTTTGTTTTCTTGATTCATGAGAAGATTACTTGAATGAGAGAGATGTTGAATGCTTTGACTTGCTTTTTCTTGTGATTGGAACATTCACCTTTGTTATATTTTTCTTCTGTTCTTTGGTCATCATTTGCTTTGCCCAGGAGTGCAAAGGCTAAGTGTGGGGGAATTGATAAAGCCCAATTTTTATATATTTTATCCCACATTAATTCAGGATTTAAATGATAATTTTGAGCTTAATTAGATTTTTTATGCATAATTGGATTAATTGGTTGATTTTGGGATTTTGCATAAAAATTGAAATTTTGGATTAAAAATATAAATATTTTCTGATTTCCTATTTTTGACTTGGAATTAATTTTTCCTATTTCTTTGAAAACAATTTTCATATTTTTAGAAAGATTATTTTTAGAAAGTTTTGCAATTTCTTGCCTAATTTTTGTGCATATCTGATATTTAATTTTTGATTATATTTGGATATAATCTACATTAATGGATACACTTAAATTCTTGTAGGTCAAGAAAAAGTATATAGGAAATCCAATGGTGCAAGATTGTTTCTTGGGATTTAAGCACAATCCAATGGCTAATATTTAGTGGGTCAATTAATTATTAATGGGCTTGAGTTTTGGATCCAAGAAAATTTCCTTTTCTCTCCTAAAAAAATACCTCTAGCACGTCTAAGATCACTCTTTTCCATCTATATAGAGACGCACGGACATTAAAACGTGGATCCTCTCCTTTGAATATTATCCCATATATTCCCCATATACCACCTCTCACCATCATCAATCCACCGTCAAAAATCACTTCCTTCACCCAACTATTCTCACCATATTCCTCTCCTTTCTAACTACACGGCCAAACTTCCATCCACACCTTATCATTCATGGCTATGGCATCTAACAACTTTGGAGGAGGAGACACATTGATAGAAGCTTAAGCTTATTTGGGAGGCAACCTGGGAGGAGTATGGAGAAGACTCGAGCCTTGGGCTAGCACTTGAAGACCATAAGAGAGTGATGTTCCATTTATCTTTTTAATTCAAGGATTTGAGATTATTTAGTTTTAAATACTTTTGAGTTGTATTTTTGTGAGACAATTTAGTTCTAGATTTTCATTTTTTTATCCTTGGATTGGATTGATATTTGGATTTTGTTTGTGTTGAGACACTTGTTGGAATTTATGTTTAGAACCTTTGCATTGTTAATTGAATTTATAATTGAGTTTTCATTATGAGTTTAATTATCAATGTGGTTTAAATTACAAAATTTGGGTTCTTCTGCCTCTTAATTGTTTAATTAAGTTGGTTAATTGTCTAATTGTTTAATTAGATAATTTCAAACATAATTTCCAGAATTAATTGAGTTATTTTTCATTGGTTTTGATAAGCTTAACTAACCAACCTTATACTGTTATGAGTTCTCTAATAGTTTAAGGGTTTTTGAAATTGAGGGTTCCCTTTGTTTCAAGTAGGTGATTAAGTTTATTAATTCCACATTTCCACTCTCTTATCACTTCCCTTTAGTCTAATTAACTGATTAAGGTTATGAAGGTTAAATCCATACAAATCCTAAGTTGTCCCCTCTACCCTACCGAAGAGAACTTCTCAATTTTCACTTCTTAATTTTCTTTTCTCTTTAGTCAATTTTCTTCATTTATCATTTTAATTTTCTTTCTTTAACAAAAAAACCCCCCAAAAATTGCATTGCATTTATTTAATTTAATTTAATTTTCATATAGATTTTAGGATATTTACATCTTGCATTTAGAATTAGAATTTTGTATTTTAGTTTAGGTCCAATTTATTGCATTTCTTTTATCACCTGAATTTTTACCTAAAGAAACCCATAAATTACTCCTTGGAAGTAATGACCTAGGTCGATCCTGAACTACAAATTAATTGGGACCTAGTTTAATTGAGTGCTTTAACGACAGAGGCAACATCAATTTTTAACTTTCTTAGGCCGTTATATATATGCTCTTTTGATGCGAACCTTCATATTGGTGATACAAAGGCTCGGTTACTCAAGCATTGATAACTCATTGGCACTAAGATGCTACTAGCACACTCATAGCCTTTACTGGCTATTTGACACGAAGATCAACATTGGTGATGAAGATCCCTAGTTACTAAACACAGCTTAAACTAGAGGAGCGGAATCTTATTATAGTATTTTTTTCTTCTTTTTTTCTTTTTTTTTCACGTTGACCCAAACCATGACTCTAAATGTGTTCCTGCATCCCAAGCACATATAATATAACACTCTTTAACTCCTAAGACATTTAGAAGGGGTAGGATTTTTTTTTTTTTTTGGGGCTATGGGTTAAGAGAAAAAAAATGATGAAGGCTCAAAGGGGGTTAAGCAAAGGATAATTGCATGAAAAGGGTAGGCTTTTGGCTTATCTAGCTAGAAAAATAGAAATGGATGCCTTTATCATCTTTATAAGTGCAAATGCACAAATGTGGTCTCAAACAAGATTCAAGTCAAGTTCTAGATCAAGGAAAGAGATAGGGATGTACACACATGAAAAGAAGAAATGCATTAAGCTCAAAACCTCACTGGGTACATGATTGCCAGCTTAAATTCACCGAAGTCAAATCCATTGCCACTTAGTTTATCCACTCAAGACATGATCAATCACTTTTCAAATTAAGAATGTATCATACTTGAATCACTTCAAACTTGCAATCTTCACATTCAGAATAAAACAAACAAACAAAATTTTTTGAACAGAAAATTTCTCTCTTTTCTTGAAAATAAGAAACAAAAACCAAAGTAAAAACCAAAATATTTTTCTTTTCCTCATTTTAAAAACAAAAAACAAAAGCCAAAAGTAGGAACAATATTCCTCCCCCACACTTAAACCATGCATTGTGCTCAATGTGAAATGCACATTTAACCGATACCAACAAGTAACGCAAGTAAAAGAGGAAGGAAGGAATACGACTAGATGAGCAGAAGTTTGAAGACCCAAATGAAGCAGTAGAATTGGCATATCTCCTTTGTCTGGTGGCAAGTCACATGAAAGCACCATTGGTATTTGCTTTTGATGTTCAAAAGACATTATCTCCTTCTTTAAGATCCTCAAAAAACGCTTTAATTCAAGTATGGAAGGTGTCTGGATAGGAGGAATCAATTCATATACCTGCACAAAACCATGACTCCAAGCAATATCCTGTCTCGTAAAAATATAATCAATAAACTCGACAAACTTTTCAGCAATTAAGGAAGATCCCAAAATAAATTGATGAAAACAAAGACTTGAAACTCCCAAATATTTTGAACAACCCACAAAATCAATATGACTCTCCTCAGTAAGAGTCAAGTTTGTTAGAGAATGAAGTGACATGTGATTACTCAAAATGGTCTCCCCATGCTTATCATCATCATTACACAAAGCAAATTCTACATGTGAAGTCTGACTAGGCAACATGTCCTTACTGTTTAAGTGCACATCCAACTCAAGATTTCCCCCACACTTATTCTTAACAACATATTCATTAACAACAGTCATGTTAAGATCACAAGTGATGTCAGTAGAATCAAAAGAAATACTACTTTTACCATGCAAAGCATCAATACACAAAGGAGCATCAGCACTCAGAGATGATACATTATCTTTGGACTCAACAGTGTATGGGGGGTCAACAATAATCTCGTCATCAATTTCATCATCAGAATCATCTTGCTTAAAATTCTCTATCGACCCAACAAAATCAACAGAATTTGAATCAGAGGTATAGGAAGAAGTATCAACACATGAATTGCAAGATGCCACATTATTTGACTCAATAGAACCAGTCAATCTAGAAACATCATCAGTGCATGCATATTCGGTTATTGTACTATTCATGTCATCATGTGAGATGGTAGGAGCAAAAGGATATGGATCACTGGAGGGTGAAAATGTGCTATCATATGATAATTCACCATTTGTTTCCAATTCTCCACTTTCCAAGTCGCTAATTGCATTAGACAACTGCTGAATTTGAGTTTGTAGAGTCTGAATCGCTTGATTGTGTTGCAATTCCCTTTCTTCAAACTTGTTTAGTAGGATTTGCATCATAGTCTCCAGCTTGTTCTCTAATTTTAAGTCTTCTTGAATAGGCATAACTTGATGGACATATCCAAGATTTGAGTAATCTTGCCACATTGGAACATTAGTCATAGTCTCCAACCTACTTTCTATTCTTGAATATGGATCATATCCCTGTGTCACATCATGGACATAATGATAAGGCATAGAAATAT